AATTAGGGCTGCACGATTAATCGCATGCGATATTTAATGCGCATCTTGCCAGTAAAGCTGGTGGAGTGATGGAGATTTACCGCTGATTACAGAACCAGCTTTACTGGCAAGATGCGCATTAAATATCGCATGCGATTAATCGTGCAGCCCTAATTTATTCAAAATCATTTGAATCTTTTGAGACATTCTAAATGTCTTATCTGTCATTTTTTGATCAATTTAATACATCCTTGCTGAAAAGTATTCATTTCCATAAAAATAAAAAAATCATACAGTCCCCAAACATTTGAATGGTAGTATATATATTTTGTGTCTGACCTGGTCATTGCTTTTGACATAGCCCTTATCCAGAGGGCTGTCCTCCCCATATCGAGCATACATAACCAAACCCATTAAACAGCCCAACGTGAGCACGATCTGCTGGCATGGGAACACCGCATAACAGGACCTGAAGAACAAGACACCCCAAAAAACACTTCAAAATGTACTGGCACACAACACAACCCAGCAGAAACAGCACAAACGGTGCATAAAACAACTTCACACTTTCAGATTCTATTGACTTAACCAGAGTGTGGAAGAGCTGGGTGTTTTCTTACATGATGGCCTCTTTCTCTGTGCGGGAGCTGAGGTATCTCTGGACCTGAGCCTGATTCACTCCATACAGGGCCAGCATGAGGAAAATTCCCCCCACTCCCAGAGTCCAGAACGTGTGCCTCTCTAAAGGGTCAGGGTTCAGGCTGCCATGACCACAAAACAAAGAATGTGAGCTTCAGTTACAATTCTGGTATGTGGAACAGTGTTTGTTAGATAATCTTAAAGGGATAGTTCACCCAAAAATGACAATTCTGTCATTAATTACTCACCCTCAAGTTGTTCCAAACCCGTAAGACCTTTGTTTATCTTCGGAACAAAAATTTTTATATTTTTGATGAAATGTGAGAGCTCTCAGACCCTGCATAGACAGCAACGCAACTGAAATGTTCCCAGGTCCAGAAACGTAGTAAGGACATCGGTAAAACAGTCCATGTGACATCAGTGGCTCAACTTCAGTTTTGCAAAATATCTTAATTTGTGTTCCGAAGATAAACGAAGGTCTTACGGGTTTGGAACAACATGAGGGTGAGTAATTAATGACAGAATTTTCATTTTGGGGTGAACTAACCCTTTAAAGGAACAGTTTAGATACTCATATATGAAACAAAATGATATTAAATCGCACCACTCACTCAAGGCCTGAGATACGGCTGCCGTTTTGTGCTTTCCTCCAAACTTCAGCGATGCCACCTGCCTGATGGGTACCAACTACAATCACTGCCAGCTGCCCCGCAAACATAACAATTGTCTGAAACACATCTGTCCAGATCACTGCTTTCAGACCACCCTGGAGAAGAAGAGAAGAGAGGAGCAGGTGTGTTATAATGTACACTACCATTCAAAAGTTTGGGGATTTTTTTATGTTGTTGAAAGAAATGCTCACCAAGGCTACATTAATTTGGTCAAAAACATAGTAAAAACTGTAATATTGTGAAATATTATTACAATTAGGAATAGCCGTTTTCTATATTAATATATTTTAAAATGTAATTTATTCCTGTGATGTTCAAGCTGAATTTTTTTATTCTTTATTCCTCTCTTGATCCTTCAGAAATCCTTCTAAAATACTGATTTGGCATTCAAGAAACATTTCTATTTATTATAACTTTGAAAACAGTTGTGCTGCTTAATATATTTGTGTCTAAACCAAATGTTGTTGAAAGAAATGCTCACCAAGGCTACATTCATTTGGTCAAAAACACAGTAAAAACTGTAATATTGTGAAATATTATTACAATTAGGAATAGCTGTTTTCTATATTAATATATTTTAAAATGTAATTTATTCCTGTGATGTTCAAGCTGAATTTTTTTATTCTTTATTCCTCTCTTGATCCTTCAGAAATCCTTCTAAAATACTGATTTGGCATTCAAGAAACATTTCTATTTATTATAACTTTGAAAACAGTTGTGCTGCTTAATATAATTGTGTCTAAACCAGGATACATGTTTTTTTAATTATTTGATGAATAGAAAGTTCAAAAGAACAACATTTACTTGAAACGTAATTCTTTTGTATCATTATAAATGTCTTTACTGTTACTTATGATCAATTGAATGCCACCCTGCTGATTAAAAGTGTTCATTTCTTTTTAAAAACCTTACTGACCCCATACTTGAGTAGCTGAGCAACAGTAAGTAAAAGAGAAAATAACTAAATGCATTTATGCCACACCACATGTAAACAACGAAATGATAAACCGATGCTTATCTCCAGCCTACCAAAGCTGTGTAAAGTGTGCACACCAATCCCATGGCCAGCACTGCCCCCCAAAGGTCAAAACCTGTTACTGTGATCACAAACAAATTCAAACATTTACAAGAGGAAAAACATGAAATAAACTACTTATCTGATTTACATCAACATGCGTGTCTTGTAATGCATCAATAGTCTCAATTACCTGCATTAAGTGCAAGTGCTGGAGCATACAGAACAACTCCCATATAGATCACCTGCGTAAAAACATAATTTGACAGATGTAACAGTTGTAATGCTTGTTTTAGGACATAACTTGTTTCTCTGAATTTCCCCCGTCTAGTAACTGATAGTTCTGAGAATCATTACACTTTAGACCCACAACGCTGAGTAAAATATTGTCCATATCAGTGGGGGGTTAGAATAAGTTTGTAGGTGAAAGTTCAAGTTTTTATACTGACAACAGGGTGTCTTTGTGCCTAACAAAACTGGAGTAAAAGACAATGTTACTTTAGATTATTAGATTATACTCCTAAAGGTTTTAATATCCTATTGCACACATCCAGGTGGTAACCACAACTCACCATCTGAAAGATGAAGGTCACAGTGCCACATATCCGAACACTTTTACTAAAACGAAGTTCCAGATACTATGAAGAAGAAAAAGAAGGCAAGAATTTAATATAAACAGAAACAGTGTAAAATCCCATAGAGCATGTTTTGGTACAGCCAGAGGACTGCAATTTACAAATATTACATAATAATTTTCAGTCAGATGGATTGAGATGGATTCATCAAGCGTGCATTAAATTGAACAAATGTAATAATAAATACTTTCTAAAAACAACTTTTGAACAGTATCTTATTTACTGTAATAAAATAGTATATTTGGATTTCTGGAATGCTTGATTTTGACTGGTTAGAATTCTGCTATCAAATATTTTTTGTATAATGTTGGGATTTATTTTGCTATACTAACTGACTGTCCATTATCCTTATAATGTTAAAGTGGGCTCCAAAAGTCTAAGACCACTTGTTGTGAGAATGCTTAAATTTTGCACTTGCAGGTCAATTTACAAAGTTCCCACCCTTTCTGACCAATGAATATCCATGTTTTTTTTCCCATTAACTTTCCAGTTGTTTAATGATTACTAGATAAGGATTTTGTAAAATCCTTAAATTTCAGACAAATTCCCTAATGGATCATTCACTTACTAATTTGTGAAACTGACTCTGATTCCCAAAAAGTGACACATACTCCAGTCTCTCAAACAAACAAACAAACACAGTGAATTTCTAATGTACTACCTGATACGCGCTGCTAAGGCGGAGCCGATAGAAAACTGGTATGAAAACGTGTGCAGGGATGAGCAGGCCCAGGAAGTAGGAGCAGCCCAGGAACCAATACTGCGTGCCGTGTGTGTAAATCTCAGATGGGGCACCCAGGATGGCCACCGCTGATTGAAAGGTGGCCAGCAGTGAAAGGGACACCGGAAGACAGCGCATGCTGCGGTCGGCCAGCAGGAACTCCTGTGTGGTCCTCTGACGACCCCCTGAGAAGGCATAGTAAAGGCCGATTCCGGCGGAGGCCACTAGCAGCACGACGAAAATCACGTAATCCACTGTGCTGAAGTGCATCTGGACTACGTCCCCCATGATGCCGTGAGGTGTGGAGAGGTGTGGAGAGGAGTGCACAGAGTGATGAGGCCCCTGGATGATCAGTGGAGTGTCAATGGAGAGTTGACCATTGGGTCATCATGAAGGATAGCAGGTGACTTGCTATAAGAAATAAATAAAAAGACAGTTTACACAAAAATGCAGAATATCCACATTACACTTTCTGACTGTCTAGATTTAAAGATTTTCCAAATTAGCAGTAAGGAAACATTTACACGAATGCATTGCACAGCATGTGCAAAACAACTAAAAAGTGACAATGTATTATTTTACATCACAATTTGGCCTTTTTATACACATAAAAAGTCACAATCAAATCAAAGTAGCAATCAAGTTAATCTTCCGAATTGTGAAGTACATACAAATGTAATAGATCATCAAAAAAAAAAAACTAATTCATCAGAAAGAAGTCTGTTTTTCTTGCAGGATATATATACAGTATAGCATACATACATGAATCATTCACTATAAGATCTATAACATGTAGGCTTTTTTTATTAGTAAACAATAAAGCAACAAAAACATTCTTCAAAATATCTTATGTTGCACAGAAGAATTAAAATCATGTCGGTATGGAACGATAATTTTCTCAATGAAATTAGTGACAACATGTTTTTAATATTGTCACAACAATGAAGAAAAGAACCTTCATGGCAGGAATTAAGCTATTTTATAATTAATTAAGAGATTATTTAACTATATCATAATACAAATACATGTAACCTTAAATTACGTGTTAGTCAGTATGTGTAGCACACAGTTGTTTTGTAATATCAGTAGAATTTCTAGAACTGCTGCTGTAAAGATGTCACTAGAGTTAAAGCTGAAAGCACTGCTGGCTCACCTCATTTGATTAAAGCTCTACATTATGTTTTCTGAGCTGCTAGTAGGTGGCCTTAGGACACAGCATGGTTTTAGCATTGTGATTCAGCATGAAAACATTAACAAAGGTTTAATTAAAAATAACACAGAAAACACATCATCTATGTAAAAGAATAATTTGATTGTTTTGGTTTCTATATTTCATGCCACTCAAAACGTCAAAGTAATTAAATGAAATAACTGAAAAGTTACAGTCTTGTTCTCATTGTTTTGTGAAGTTCCAGACATTGATCAATACAAAATAAATGTCTTAATGAGCCAAACAAAATGATTGCTCTCAGTGCCTTGTTCAAGAAATAAATAAATACATACATAAAATGAAATAAAATAAAACACAATCACTAGTTTATCAATCACACAACCCACTGAAAACCGTGCACTGGTCTTGTGAGACATAATGACATAACACAGTTTATTCAATGAGTCATCATGTGACTTAAAAATCTCTTTTTAATTTAATATTGTGCCACTAGGGCTTCCTGTCATAAACAAACCAGCTTACAAGCAACTATTCTAACATATTCTGACATTCTGTAGTGCTCAAGCTTATTCACACAAACATGTGTTGAATGCAAAAAGCACTGTGGGTCAGTGTATTTAGGCCAGAGGAGTCAGACTCAATGATAAAATGTAATAGGTGACACTGAGAGGATGATGCTGATGAAATATAGCAAGTCACACTATTATCACATACTGTAGCTTTACTATATATATATAAACCCATCAGTTTAAATTGTAATATATTTCAAAATTACTGTTTTAAATTTTGATTAAAAAAAATGCAACCTTGATAAACACAAGAGAGTCTTTCAAAAACATTTAAAAAAAATCTTACCAACCCCAAGCAGTATAGTGTAAACTTCAAAAGTGATCAGAAGAGACTGTCATGCATTTCAGACATATTTCATATTAATTCATGTACACACATTTAGTAGCAGGCAAGTTACATAACACCCTGTAAAATGGTAAAAAGTCAAGCATCATACTAAACTTTCTTGCATTTGTGAGTTTGCTCATTGTCATTTATTCATTACACATGCAATATCTGTAAATTAGTTGCATACAATGGACACAATTTACTGCACACAATCCTGTCCTGAACAGCGGAACAATACAGCCTATGAGTACTACAGTAAATATGAGATTTTTCATTTTGAGGTCAAGAACACTTGAGTTTAACTCACTTGTTTAACTAGGTCCAAATGAAAACCACACTGAAAATCTGTATCTAATCTGTAATCTGTACACTGTAAAAAAAAATTCCGTAAAATTTACGGTAAAAAACCGGCAGCTGTGGTTGCCGGAATTTTACCGTAAAAAATACAGTAGCAATGTTTTAGGTTTGATGGTT